GGGAAAAACAAAATGCTTTAAACACAGCGCTAAATTGGGATTTGGAGGATTATGCTGGACTTTTTGGGTCTATTTTTATGCACGCGGAGCTTTTACAGTGAGAAAAAACAAGGGGAATTGCCTCTCCTGTGGTGTTGCAGAGAGAGAGAGAGAAAGAGAGAGAGAGAGAGAGGCGTGAGCTCTGAGTCCTTCAGCATCTCCAATCTGTTTCATAACAGACGTGACTCCCACCACCCACATGTACACTCAGCACCCGAGCGAGTGGGCCGAACAAGGCTTTTCCCATCCAGGCAAAACACTCTGCAGTGCTGAAACTATAGACACACACACACTTTCACACATGCTGACACACACATGGGCACTTTGGCATGCACACACACACATGCTTTCTCTCTCGCTTCCACACACAAACACTCATACATGAAGAGTACTTTGTGACTTTACTGCTCTCTCTCTCTCTCTCTCTCTCTCTCTCTCTCTCTCTCTGAATGTGACATAACTTTACTTTGATGTATTTCTTTTTATTATTCTGTTCTGTGAGCTCAGTCTGTGCAGCCGTCGTTGCTCGTTGTTCATTCACTATTTCAAATTTACATGAGAAAGTCAGGGACTAAACAGTCTTACCAATCTTAACTCTGTGTTGTGACACAACCAAACACCAGGACTAACTCTTAAAACATGCAGATGTACATGATGAATAAACACACTGTCAGTTATTTCTGGGATATTAGACAATATTTTTACAGTAAAATACTGTGTTCATCATTTTATTGTAAAATCTACTCATCTTCAAGATATTTTCTGTTATAATACAGCAGAGGTTAATTTTGAGCTCTACCACACAGCATTATGGGATAGAACAGCAACTGACACTTAACATTTGAGTTTTCAGCTGTGCATGTCTGTACTGTTAACTGTCTTTAAAAAAAAATTGTATTTGGAAAAAGCACACTTCAGATATTCTTCGCGTTTATAGCACAAAACATGTTGAATAAATATTCACTGATATAATTTTTCATTGTATTTTAGTTCATCTTAATTTATCTTTTACTTTACTTGGATTTTCTAAATACATGCTTATTTATAGGAAAATTGTAAAACTTAAAAGTCATTTTTCATATATAAATTTTATATAAGTAAATTACTGTCTCCTGAGTTGTATTGCTGGTACAGTTGTGTAAAATACTGTATTTTATTTACAGCTCATTACTGTAAGTGTACAGCTACATCACAGTAATCTTGTTGCCCACGAAACAGTGAAGTTACAGTATCCAGTTGCAATTTTACTATTATTTAATGTTAATATGGTGCAGTAAATTGCTGTGTAAGGAATACATCTCATTAAACAATTTTGGAGCTGACTTAGTTTGTAATTTGAGTTATTACTGACAAAATCTAATCCAGATTTTAATCCAGTATGAATCTGCAGTGTGTGTAGTTTTTACGGTCTGACAGTAATAATTGTGGAGTGATTTTAATCCAGTATGAATCTGCAGTGTGTGTAGCTTTACAGTCTGATGGTAATAATTATGGAGTAAATAGTCTTCTGTAATTGGCTCTCTGAGGACTATTAATAGTAGTCATGTTCCACTTCAAGCTAATGCAATAGGTGTGTGTTGTTAATGTTATTGACATGTCAGTAAACTTGTTTTCTGAATTCAGAAAATGACTTTATCCCATACCAATCAAATCCTGGCAATTGGCAACACACAACCTTAAACAAAAAAAATACTAAAACAAATTAATTTCTAATTCTAATAGGCCTATAAACATGGCTCAGTCAATGCACAGCGCAGTGTGACTCCATCTTCCAGGTATCTGTCTAGTCTAATTATAAAATACAGTTTAATAGAATGCTATTATTCATAAAGTGGTATATAAATATGGATGACCACTGCTGGAAAATCAGCCAGTATCTCTACGCCACGCTTCAGTGGAGGGTGGAAAAGTGTAGGCGTGTGTGGGACGAGGAAAGCGTGAGGAAGAGAGAAGGGAGGAGGAGGAGGTGGAAGAAGAGTGGGGGGATATATTAGAGGTGAGAGTTTTCACATACCACAGGAAAACTGTGACACTGATACATAATTACACTCTCAATCTCAAACTACACTGAAAAAAGCATGCATAATTTTTATATGAATGAAATACATTATATACATTATTAGACATTGCAGATGTTATGTTATGATCTATTTACACCCAAGGCGTTAGTTGAGATAGTAATAAGCTAAATATATTAAAAAAAAACTTGTTTTTGATTTCTTTTAAAGTGAAGTTAAAAGATTTATCCTAAGTTTCATTTTTATATAAAAAAATCTTCATTGAAAAAAAATGCTGTTCCACAATTAATTCCATGTCACTACCGAAACGCAAAGACTTTTAGTCAGTAGGCGGAGCCTTATTTTAGCCACAGCCCTGCATTTTAGAGCAGGAAGTGAGACTTCATCCCTGTCCCTCATGGCCACATGGTGAGCAGTTTGATCCCACTGTTTTGAAGTAAATGTGTCTGAAAAAGTCAGTGTGAAACATTCAAAACTGTCACTACCAAAACCTATTTTCTGTAAATAAACCTTTTTGTGTTTTAAAGAAGAAGATAATGATTTTATGTGTGTGCAGCTGTTTAAAGCTGTGTTTAAAGCTGATCATGTACTTGCTAGTGTTGTTGAATTCTGCTCAAAATTAGCTGAAATTGCCACTGAAACAGTCACTACTGAAACATTTGGTTAAGTTTCTGTAGTGTTATGATTGTTTTTGGTAGTGACAAAATTTGATGTTCAGTCGTTTTATTAAAATAAACATAATTAAGGTATAGGGTCACTCAAAGCAAAAGGGTTTTAGTCTAAAGTCTCTGACTTTGAACCAGTTTGGTAGAATCATCTGACACAAATTAAAAATGTTTTTTGAACAGCTTTTTCTTTTATAATAACCCCAAAGCGCTGTGGTTAACTGGCCCTCTAGCTGGACTTCTTTCTTCCGTTCCGCTGCAGTTGGGTCCGCAAAGTGCTGCTTATGTTTTCCAGCCAATTAAAATTTAATGGAAACAAAAGATAAGATCCATAGTGCTGAGGAGAACAAGCTGGCTGTCTCCTTCCCTCCTTTCTCTGTGGGTCCGGTGTCCTGTGTTATTTATATTCCAGCAGCAGCTACATGCTGAGATGGCCATTGAACTGTGACTAATATTAAATTTGAATAGAAAGCTAAAGGTCGGGTCACTGTGAAGGTCAGGTGTCAATTACGTAAGGCAAGGACAAGTAAGAGCATACAAGGAGTTTTGACTTAGACACATGAGGGCAGAATTACACTGAAAGCGTTCACAGTGCAGTGTTCATAAAGCTACATGACACCTACATAAGCTCATCATGACATTAACCTACATAAACATTCATAAAGGCTGACTTTAATAGGCGTCGTCTGTCATAAAGGCTGATTTTATCAACTTTGATGTCAAGTTGGCGTAACATCTTTGTTGACATTGATATTTTTTAAGGTGAAATTACATAACACATTACAACAACTGACTTTAGTGCACGGCGCAGTGACATAAAGCTGATCTGAATCTTATAAATGATAGAATGAAACTGACTTTATCTAAGGGCCACAGAAAATGCTCACTTTTGTTCAGTCAGCATGACTACGCATCATTATCAGCATTATGTGATTGTGACATAATCTGAACTACAAAGTCTGTCATTTCACCCCAGAAAATGTCATGACAACCTAACGTCAGACAAAAAGTCAGTGTTAACTTGACAAAGTTGGCCAATGCAGCCTTTGTGACAAGTGACACCTATTAGTACAAGGTTTATGTCAGTTCTTATGTAGGTGTCATGTAGCCTTATGAACATTGCACTACAGAAAGTGTCACCTAAAAACCTACCGAAATTGCTTAGAATAAATTCTTGTTACATTAACATGCATTCAAAATTAAGAACATTGTTTCTGCCTCCTAAGTTACTATTTAGAAGATATAAGGTTTTTCTGTTTTGTTGTTGATGATATACCATGTTATTAATACATGAACTTGTCTGGTACATACATTTTGTGAGAGTGAGGACGTGTTCCAATTGTATTTTGTAATATGTGAAATATTTAAATGTAATATGCACAATGATTGTTTGTTTGCTGTGGCAGCAGAAACTGTTGTTCTCCTTTATGTACTTAAAAGATCATTTATTTCCTTTTTCTATAAAGTTACCACTCTTCACAGATATATGTATACAACACCTCATTTTTGTTGTTTTTTATTTTTTGACAGAATTAGAAAAGGCCAGTTGATCTTTATGATGTTTTAAAATTTTATGATGCACGGACCAACAGAAATGGTCCAAAATTACTTGGAAAGAATATTTATCCATTTACTTCCATTAAAAGTTAAGAACATTTTTGCTTGTCCTGTAAAGTTACCTTTTTTGGATATACAAGGCTTTGTTCCAAATGATTCCTGATGAGATTTTTGGGTGGATACTTGAAATAGGCTTCTTGAATTTTTTCACTAGTTCTAGTTCTAGTTCTTTTTTCAACTAAATTATCCCTTTAATAAATGTTTAGCAACCAACCAAGGCCAGTGCTAGATCAGTGGCTAGCAGTCAGGATTAGTTGAGCGGTGCAGCACAGAGATTCCCAGTGATTGTGTGACACAGTGTATGCTGGGTAGTGTAGTAAGTGAACACTGACGGACGAAAACATGAAAAACATATAAAATTGTGAATTCTGTCAACCTGATGAGGCTGAGGGACACAATGCTGCCTTACAGAGAACTACATAACACTTCACATAGCATACTAAATGCTAGTTTTAGGCTGGAATGCCCCTTTAACCCCTTAAATGGCCAGACAACATTTTATTACTCAAGCCAGTTTGCTTCGACGTCCCTGTAGCTACTGAATAATAAGCCTTAGTACGTAAAAAGCCTGGGATATTAATGGGTTAACTTTTGAATCAACTGCCAATCACTTGGCATTTCAAATGACAGTTACTATGACTGTAAAGTTGTGTGGTCTAACCTGGGAGATGGGGATGGGGTATGGTCCTGGCAGGTTCTCCTGCAGCCTCACTGGGTCAGGAGAGGCCCATGTGTTCCCCGTCACCTCCACCAGCACGGTTCCAGTGGAGAAAAACGCATTAGCCTTTCCACCCATGTCCTGCACCATCACCGAGAGCTTATAGCGGCCACACATCTCAGGGTCCAGCGTGGAGGCCCCTGTAGTTCAAATGGGCATAAATCACAGATACAGATACATTGAATTGCCAGTTAGGTGCACCTACGTTGTACCTTGGACATTCTACCTCCATGTCAGTGCCACTGATTTGGTGAGAATGATCCACCATCCAACTAATATCTGCTTATACAGGGGTCCCTTTTCAATAATGGGCGCTGTAGAAGGTGGCTGATAAATTGTGCAGCAGCAGGATAGGCTGTAGTTCTAGAAATTGTACATCTACAAATTGAACTCATATGGTAGGTGTTTCTGATAAAAATGGATTATGAGGTCAGGGACAATGTATTAAAAATCTTGTCTTTGTCCTGTTTTTTTGTTTAAATGCAGATCAAAGTGAATTTACACACATCTTTTATTAGCTTATACCATATTGTCCCAAAGTTTTTGGAAGTGAGGTTTGTGTGAATTTATATGTCAACTTATTGCTACTCTATATCATAGCTATTCTATATAAATCCTGCACTATGCAACTCAATTTGTTATAGGCCTGTAACACAGATACGCGTGTTGCTCTGAGAGCTGTTTAACAGCAGCTGTAAAGGCCAGCACGTGAGATCCTTTCCACCTTCTGCTTCGGCACAGGGCAAAGCCTAAAACAAACAGAGCATAAAACTATTCCATGATCTGCTGGCTGATTGTAATGGCATATTAAGCCTCTGTATCTACCTCGGTGCCTCTGCCAGGCTTGTTTTGATTGCATTTGGCACTAGACTGTCTGATCTGACCCGATGTTCAGGCTCTCGATGAGTCACTCAAATTAAACGACATTCTGCTCCAGCCTGCTGAGCCTTGGCATGGCTACAAAGCCTTTTAAAATCCATGGAAATAATTTTAAAAAGATGATGAAGAAGAAGGACAACATTGTTAATAACCTTGTTAATGAGCAATCAGTGGCCATTCTTGGCCTGGCTGAGTGACAGAGCAGGAACTGAAGCGGGTTATTTGTTGATTTCACAGTGAATTGGGTCTGGAAAAAGGAGGTGATGTGGAAGGTACAGGACGAGAAGCTGCTGTCCAGTTAAAAACAGGCAGCCAATAGGACACCAAGGTAAACTGTGTGTCCAGGAATAGCATCAGGTCCGATTCTCACTGCTATCAGGATTTGACTGGTTAGAGCCGGAACGGATGTGTGTGTGCGTGTGCGCCCTGTGTGTGTGTGGCAGAAAGGGAGTAAGATGGATACAGTTGGATTTAGAGGACACGCTAAAGGACTGGCCATCAGCAGCAGAGCGTTTAACAATGAAACATCAGGTAATGCGGCAGCGTTGTGTTCAGCTATACATCATATTTAGTCGCTCTCTTTTGATTTGTTCCTCAACAAAAATCCTTCCTGAATGAATCATTTAAAGAAGTTATTTTCCTTTTATGCCAAGTGTAGTTAAACAATCAAGATATACTCAGGTTCAAAATAGTTTGTCCTTAAATTTGTATAATTTTAGGCTTGATAACTCACTCACTCACATTTAGCGACCTAAATATTCTCCACAAGGTGGTGCCATTAGCAGCCAAACAGCCTCTGAAGCTTTGTAAGTGCAATGCTTCTCATCAATGACATTGTGTCTGTGTTTATAGAACAGCACATCATACAGTGTCGGAAACCATATAAGCAAGTCTATTTGTGAGTACTTAGCATCTCTTCACAGTTTGAGGCAAATGAATGATGATTTAGGCATAATTTAGGAGGGTTAAGATGACCCAAGGGCCCAAAAGAGATAGGGGCTAATTTTTTCTTGTGGTAAATAATAAAACATATTCACATAAATAAAAATGTATGTGAAGATTTTAGTGGACTACTTTAAAATACACATCAAAACTTTTCATAATAGAGTGTCGCTTCAACAGCCAAGATGCTGTGCTTTTGAAAAGCAACAAACATCACATTTTTGGGCCATACGGTATATTGACATGCTAAATTATGGGACAATGAAAGAGATAAAACAAAATAATTTGTAGAGTTATGAAATTTTTGGCAAGTTCTGTTAAGGAAAAAATGTGGGCAAGGGACCCATGCAAATATTTACCATCCTCAGTGAGAGACACCTCGCCTGTGATGGCATCTATGTGGAACATGTGGCTGGCTGGGATTCGGGGTGTCTGGTCCAAAAGGCTGAAGCGTAGGTCAGCGTGGGCAGTGTTGCGATCATCGCGGTCGAGGGCCTCCACTTCCATGAACGGGATCGCTGCATTTCGGACAGGGCAGGAGTTATTTTTCAACACAAAAAGTAACAGTTTGTTTGACATCACTTAATAAATGCTCTCAGAATAATATATTTCTGCTTCTATATTTCAATCTATTATTGTGAATACTGTGAATACTGTGCCCCGAGTTGCCATTTCCCAAAGCTTTGGCTGGCGTGCAAGAGGTGCTAATGTTATTCCTCCTAATAAACAGCCAAACATCTCTTCTTCACCACGATCACTGCATGTTTTACCACATTAACACATACAGATAATAAGATGGAATGGACAAGAACATGTCTGCAGTGTTCAGGATTTGTTTGAGCTGCATATTTAGGAGAAAATGTCACTCTAAAATGCAATACCACCATTTTGCAACATGAATAAATGTAACATCAATATTCTAGATATAGTGAACTTGCTGTGCCTGTCACAGGTTGACATTGTATTTGCTAATGGTATAAACTAAAGGTTAGAACAGAGGTTAGGACACTGCTGGGCTTGTCCTGAAGTTAGGACAGTATTTAGGACTAAATACTGTCCTGATTCTTTTTTATCTGGAGTTGATATGATTATGAAGTTAGGAACTGTCATTGTGGAATAGCTACTGTTCAGTCCTAACTCAAGTTGTCAAGGTGACCTAAAAGATATGATTTCAGAGTTAGAATGTATCTGTAATACAGCCCCAGGATTTTTGAATCATAGCTGGGGAGATTCTCAACAGTTGTATGCTATATTTGCATAATGCACACTGGGTTGTTTGGATAAACACACAAAAAGGGGGGCAGTCGTGGGCTGGAGGTTAGGGAACCGGCCTTATGACAGGAAGGTCGCTGGTTCGATCCCCTGAGCCAACAGTACATGACTGAAGTGCCCCTGAGCAAAGCACCCAACCCCTAACTGCTCCCCGGGCACCGTGGATAGGGCTGCCCACTGCCCTGGGCAAGTGTGCTCACTGCCCCCTAGCGTGTGTGTTCACTGGTGTGTATGTGGTGTTTCTCTGCACAGATGGGTCAAAAACATATGAGGGTCAGGATTAGGTTTTGGATTGAGGTTTAGGATTAGGGCCAGGGTTAAGATTAGGTTTTGGGTTGAGGTTAAGGTTAGGGTTAGGATTAGGCCCAGGTTTAGGGTTAGGTTTTGGGTAAGGTTGGTAAAATTAGGTTTTGCATAATGGAAGAAACATATTAATGATATATTTACTTAATGTAAGTAATGTATCAACAGAACATCTACAAGATATTTACTTCAGTGTATTCAGATGCTTCACTACTGCTGCTTCACTGATATGTTGTTGACGTGTTACTGATACTCTGTTAAGAGCTGTTATTAATCATCTACAAATAAAGTGTTACCATAATATATTCAATGGTAGTTTTAGGCCTAAGTTTCCCTTTAAAGACTGGCACTCTGTATTTTTTCATGTAGCTTCCATCCTTAGAAATAGATGATAATAATGACTCTAATGGACCTTTATAAGACTGTCTGACGTCATGTATTGTCTGTCTATTGCAAACACAGGAATACGTTACCAGATTGCCAGATAAAAATATTAGGGAACAGATGCGGCATAAAACAGCCATTGGGTTGCTGATATCTGTAACTATGGCAACATTAAACAGCAGAGTGAAAGCCTTGGCTGCTTGGATATAAAGGAGGAGGAGACTGATAAAACATCTCCAGTTCCAATGTGTGGATGCATCTTGCACTGGCAGACCTCCCAGCTGCATCCGATTCTATACTCCAGACAAGTGTATCATCATATTAGATCATATCAGATCTTGTTTTTATTTTAGTATCTGATCAGTGGCCAGACACTTTGCCTGCAAGTGTAAAAAGCAACCTTATAACATCACTGTCCAAAGAAATACATGTATATCCATTTCTTTCTATTTTTATTTTTCTACATCATTGGATAAAAGCAGCTATAAAAGCAGCTGCCCTTCATCCTGAAGACGTAATGATAAATGGACCAACAGAAATGCTCCAAAATGACTCAGAATTAAATCTCTTTACATTAACTTCAACTAAAATCTCCTTCTGCTGTAAAGTTACTATTTTGGACATGCTTTTGTTGGACAACAACAATAACTGAAATGCAAAAAATTCTCACTTGGCCTTAATTATTTACATGATGTGTTAATGGCTCTATTTGTCACATTATTCTTAAAACTGTGGTTAGAACCCACAACAAAAACAGGTTCTAACGTGTCATATTCAAATCACTATCCCTGAAAGCCGTGTGGAAAGCATGCATCATCCATTATCCCTGATGAAGGCTCACACTCTTTCATACTGGTTGAATCTGAAGGTTATGATACAAAAGCAAGACTGAGTTCATCACATCAATGGATGAATGCAGCATCTATGGTGCACTATCATGCACTGACCAATGAGATAAATAGAAGACCTTGACGTGAATCACTGTCCTTTCAGGCTCCTTGCAAAATCTAGTGTCCCTCCTTTGTCATTATTGCACATTTCTGTGATTAGTTTCAATACCTGAAAAACATATTTGTATATTTCACTTTTCAAAGGTGAATCTTTAATCTTTTGGCTTTGTATATGTTTAAACTTGTGTCTGCTAATGTCTGTGTAACTTCAAAACTGCAGTATCAGTCAGCATTAAAAGGCTGGAAATCAAAATATATTGGGCCAAATACGGAGCCCAGATGCACTCCCACTCTCACCTTTCAGTAGACCCAGCTGCACGGAGCCTCTCATGCTCTCCTCCAGGAACACAGGCACGTTGTCATTCTTGTCAATGACGCACACCTCCACATTGAAGTTCTGGGGGTGCATGGATGCTGTGAAGGACACCTGGGAGAAAAGCGCAGGCAGGTTCTACAATCACGTGGAAGACCTTTTCACTGCTCACAGTGTACAACCCTTCATCATACCTTATGAGCTGCAATTTTCCGCAGCGCTCGTCAGGTATTTTTGGTTCAGCCTTGAAGCCAACTAGCTGGATGCCTGCTGTTAGTCCAGACTTTTCTTTGTAGAAATTTTGTGCTCCAAAAATTCACACATCAAAGCTCAGCAGCAGTTACCACGATCATGCTGCATGATGAGGAAGTAAATAGTAACTACACTGTATGGCTAAAAGTATGTGGACACCTGACCATGGCACAACTTCTGGCTCTCAATCGACATTCCAACATCAGTGCCTGACCTCACAAATGCTCTTTTGACTGACGTTGGATGAGAAGGCCTGGCTCACATACTGATTTACAGTGAAGATGGCATCCTATAGGAGTGCCTTGTTTAAAGTCACTGAGCTCTTCAGTACATTCTACTGTGAGTGTTTGTCTACTGAGACTGCATAGCTATGTGCTTGATTTTATACACCTGATAATGATGAGTGTAGCCAAAATACCTGAACTCCACATTAGGAGGGGTGTCCACATACTTTTGTAGTGTATTTGTTGACTGCTGAAATTTTTGAAGCAGATTGATAATCTGTATTAAATGCTATTGCCAGCTCCCTGAAGAGGCCATTCTGGGTTCAAATTGTTTCTTTTTTCTTGTTTTTAGGGTTTTTGTGTTTTAGGTTTTTGTTTAGGGAAAAGTAGAGTTGGCAGGTTTTTCACTCTCTGCCATACATCCCAGACATACCATATATTAGGATAACTCACTTTCAGTGTCAGAATATATTTCTTAGTATTTGTGTATTAATGACATGGGGCTGGTTGACACATGCTATAGGGATAGTTGGCATAGAATTAAAAAGCTATAGTTTCAAAGAATAAAACAAATAGAAATGATCAGACTTTTTCATTTAAACCAAAGCACAAATATAAACATTCAATGAAAACCAAATAACACAACCCCAGTTAAATGCTAGGAATGTTAATTTTTTACCATTGGCTTGCATTGAAGTATGAAAATTAAAAAATTAAAATTATGTTTTGTGAATAGAAGTGAACTCTACAGGGGACACACTTAAATGGTGCATTTTCTACAAATTTGGTGCCCAAGTTCTATGAAAGAAGAAAGATGCCATAGTTAGGTGTGTCCTCTGTAGAGGATTATTAGCTTACTTTTGCTCAACAAATCAACAAAACATGAAATTTGACCAAGATTATCCTCACTATCAAAATATAACTGACTGCCATTTTTGTTAACTGAAATGAATGTATTGTGAAGCTCTCTCTTGAATACGGAGCCCTGTTGGTGATATTCTGTATAAATAAAAATAATGCTTGGCCACGACGTAGTAAGGCATGGGAACAAGATAATTAAGTCAAGGCCATGACTTAGTAAGGCGTGGGAACGAGATCCTAATGTGTGACCATGACTTAGTAAGGCATGATCTCCTTCCCATGCCTTACTAAGTTGTGGCCACTACTTAATTATCTCATGCCCACGCCTTACGTCGTGGCCACACATTAGGATCTTGTTGCTGTGCGTTAATAAGGCGTGGCCACACATTATCTTTATTTATATGAGATATCATGCCCTGCGATGGACTGGCGACCTGTCCAGGGTGTATCCTGCCTTCCGCCCAATGACAGCTGGGATAGGCTCCAGCACCCCACCGCGACCCAGAAGGATAAGCGGTTTAGATGATGTATGTATGTATGTATATTAGATATCACCAGCAGGGCTCCCAACTTGAAATATTTTCAGTAATGATTTTATTCAGAGAGATACAGGAAAACCGAAAAGTTGTCGCACAGACTATAACGTTCAAACTGAATGTAGGATTACTACGTTTGTGTGAGAGCTCCGCTCACTGACCCACAAATCAACACTTAACCATTAACTTCTTGATAGGCTTACTTGAAATGTGAGCTTAGCAGAAAAATGAAACTTTATATGAAGCTCTTCAGGAATCAAAAGGTGACGAATACACACGTGTAGGGAGTATGAGGGCTGCTTTTCCCGGTCCAGTGGTTTTAGGGCGTACAGGAATCCAGACTCCACTCCGAAAATGCCCTCGTCATCACCGCTTACCGTCAGATCAGTGTATGTTAACGGGAGGTCCGGCAGCTGTGGGGGAAAAAGAGTGACACTGATTCAAGTACAGGGATATTTTTCCACACTTTTCTACAAGTTCAGTCTTAGAAGTTGGTTGCACTTTCAGCCTCTTGTGATCCAAATAATCTCAAACACATTCAGTGGTGTTGAGGTCTGGACTGCGGGGTGGTCAGTCCATTGTTCAGCTCCTTTGTTTGATGTGTCCGTCTCCTTTTCTCAGTGAGGTTCTTCTTGAACAGCTACACATCCTTTCAGACCCATAGCGCTGAGTCGTCTTCTCACAGTGGAAGGATGGACAGAAACACCTGTGGATGTTTTCAGATCTGAAGCAGCTTGATTTTTTCCTCTCTCTCAAAGATGAAAGCTTTAAGTGCTGTTTATCTGATGGGGGCAGTTTTGGGGTCTACCAGGTCTTGTTAGGGGTTCCGTTGTTTCATATTTTGATTTTCATGTCTTTATGCAAGTGAATTTATCTTATGTCTAATCTGCTCAGAAATATCTTGAATTAAGTGAATAAAATTCTTTTTTGGACTGGAACTTAAATAAATAATACTGTGCTTTGAGCAGTAGAGCTACATTGTTAAAAAAAACGCTCTAGTTTCAGTGATTTGAGGAAAGATCAGATTTCAAGTGCTTTTTTTTGTTGCAGATGTGTGGTCTAAGAAAGAAACACCACAACCGTCATCCCTTGTTAAGTATGACAGCGTGATATGTCACTGCAACTGACAGGCCTTCGCCATTTCTTTGGTGCTTTGAAGTCAAGGCGCTTAATTTGTTTCTTGTTCACAGTTTGCTTTGACAGCTAGCATTGTGCATGAGGCAAGGCGCTGATGGAGGCTAAGGGCTAAAGCGCAGCTTTCTGTCATTCCATACTGTGGAAACAAGGATGCCATGTTTTTGACCGCCCCCTCTCACTGTCCCCCCCATGGGTAAAAGGGACGGCTGCTGCTGACAGCATTAAGTCCTTTGCACGGTTGGCACTAAGGCACGTGCTATAACTGGGTTAAACCTGGCATGGGGTGCTGTATGCTTGGTGCCAGTGTTCAACAAAAGCACGTCCCCACTGAGTAGCAAGGTTCACTGCATCTCCAGGGCCATGAATACCACACAGCTGGCCAAGCTCAGCAGCCAGTGCCACGCCAGCAATTCTCAGCTTGCTGAAAACCCAAAGGCTTTAATTCAATAGTGCTCTCAGGGAATGGAGGTGCTTTGGCTTTGCAGTGGCCTTCGAAGAACAGCGTGCATCGCTTGCTATTCATTTAAAGGGCCTGTATCATGGAAAACGTTCAGGAATTGTCCTTTTTTAAATGAACAAGTTTGAAGTTGTATTTACAGTCATATGCAAATGTTTTGGCACCTCTGTTCAAATGACATATTTTGTGGATTCTAAGGGAAAATAAGTACAAATTTTTCTTTTTAATGCACAGTTGTTGACATTACAAAAAAAACAACATAAAATGTGGCTTGTGCAAAAGATGACACAGTTTATGTTTTAGTTTTTCCAATGTGATATAAGCAAACTGTTAGCAGAAAAAGGCCATTTTACAGTTTGTTCCCAATGGAGAGGATGTGTTAAATTCATTTCACTTAGAAAATCAACAAAACATAATTTGACCATAGGTGTTCAAACTTTTTCATAAGACTGTATGTTGCAAAACCTTTCAAAGCCCATATCCATACTGTCCATACATAAAAGTACCATGCAAAACAGCCTCATTGCTTTAGTGATGTCACAAAAGCCAACACATTTACATATACCCACCCATTCAGCCTACATCAGTTTAGCCCTGCCCATTCAATTGATGTTATAAGGAGTGTTTCAGCCCAGACTTCTTTTTTGAATTAGATAGGCAGTGAGAATTTAGGTATATCACTCTTAAAGGCACAGCGACAAAAACAGCCTGTGTAATAAAAAAAAGATAAAAAGACACTGGAGAGGTTGGAAATCATCATATAAAAATATAAAAAGTAATTATATTATGACTGTGTATAAAATTAAATTCTAAAGTTTGGAATCAATTGCCATATTAACTAATTTTGTTATTTCATGTGCAAAAATAACTAGTAACTATGTTAAAGTATGTATGTATGACATTTGCCAAATGCTATATTTGGATGTTTTATTCAGTACTTCAATGATGCAATGGATAGGAAGTTACTCATTAATGATAGATATTGTACTGTAATTATCCATTTACTTTTTTAGTCTGAAGTTTAGTCTAAGTTATCTGAATTGAGATTTGATCTCCACTTTTGAAACATGAATAATTTTGGATATTAATTTTAACTGAATTCTTGATGTTAGAAATTATTTAAATAACAGATGTCAGTGTGTATATTTTGATGGTTTTTGATGTTTTTTTTTGTCTTAGAAGCTTACTATTAGAACTGGGGTGCCACAGGGTTACATTTTGGGGCCCTTGTTGTTCACAATTAATGACCTCGGCAATAATGTCTTAAATGCTGATATGCATTTTTTGCAGCTGGACGTTCCGATAGTATGGTCTGAATGTGGCAAGGCAGCTTTGAGTTACAGTGCTCCATCTGCACGAAATGATCTGCAAAAACATTTGAAATTGGAACAATATATTTCCTTGAGTAATTTTATGATAATTGTTGAAAAACTGTATCATTCTGTTTGTTCTTGTTTATTTCAATTTGGTTTTGACTTGATTTGTTGGTTGTGATCATGTTGTTCCTTTGTTGATTACTTTGTGTGCTGCCTTCTCGGCCAGCTCTCACTTGTAAAATAGATTTTTAACCTCTTCAACTCCTTGAGACCACCGGTGGTTTAAAATGCACTTCCTCATATTCTTCATAACTTTCATATTTCATAAGCTACATTCAAAAGGTGGGGGTCATATGAGAGCTTCTTAACTGTCTTCTGTCCAGTCAAATAGATGGGTAATGTAATTTTAAACCCTTATAATAGAAGAAGCTGAACTGAAGCTGAGCAAAATTTTTTTTCTACTGGAATTGGACCCATTTGTCCACAAATCTGGGCTATAAACTATAAACAGATGGCATCTCTTCAGTGATCTGCTCTGTAAAAATTATTTTTATAAAATAATACAAAGAGCGTCTAAGAATTTTGGCTTTCAGCAGTAAATTGTAAGCATATAGCAATATGTGTATGATCATAAAACACATGTTCTGTTAATTTGAGGGGAGCTTTTACACAAAAAAATAAAATAAAAATAAAATAAAAATGTACATTTATTTCATGCAGTTACTGATGTGAAGTCGGATGGACAAACCAAAATATACCCTGGGGAATAAGAGATTATTCTCAATGTGATTAACCTGGTTAAATAAAGGTTAAAAACAGTTTCCCCAGTCATGTTGTCATCTTCTACAGCTCTGTTCATCATTCTTGACATATCTAGTGCCCTACATGTGTGAAAATGATTGTAGTTGCACAGTATTGGCATATTATTATTATTTTATACAGTAATCTGCAACAAAATTGATTTTATATTATTGAAAACACTGATTCCAAACCTTCAAGAACAGTGCAGAATGACCAAAGGCCTAATTGCTCACTATATGATGCAGGCAGCCCAGTGCAGCTCTCAGTAAGACACTGCCCAGGCTTTTATCACTGAAACATTTCCCTTTAACCCAACGCTTGCTTGATTTTATTGATAGGTGCATAAACAAGAGCAAAAAATGTATTAGCCCTATGAGCAGGGATGCAGAAAACAGCACTCGAGTGAAGGGCACAAAAACCCACCAGTGAGTCATAGCCCATTTTTCTTGCTTGTTTTTAAAAGCCTGAATATATACTGTATAGCCACCATTACGTCCTTTCAGTGCAAACAGAGTTGGGATAATTAACCACCCGCCCTCACGCATGTCATTAAAATTGACTTGAAGTGCATTCTGATAGCTTGGCATCAACATGCAGATTGCAGCGAGAGGAGTGGCCCTTACACTCTGATTTTCCTTTTCAAAAATGCCTCCAATTATAGTGTCAGAGTGAAAAAGCAGTACAGCGGAGAGCAACCTGCCCATTACAAATAGGCATCTGACGAAGACGCCCGCCGCATGGACGCGGGACGGATGGCAGTTGGGCTTTTGTGCAGGAGCTCCATATTTAGTTTGGTGATGAAGGGACTGGTGCGTGAGCAGCCAGCTCATAATTACACCTTGAGCTCTTAGTACTGTGAAAGAGGAAAATGAACAAAGTGTACAAAAGCTCTCCGCTTTTCGAGTCTTTTCCCCCCTCTTTGAGAGTGGTCTTTAATACGCTGCTCTCAAACCAGCAGTCTGATTCATAGCACAAGGGTGGCCAATAATAGCTGCTCCATTTGGGACAAAAAAGCAACAGGTAGAGCGATTCCTTCCACTGTGATTTCTGACGTTTTAATGACATCAGAGGAAGAACTGCAAACTCAATTGTGTGTGATTTCTTTAAAGCTTTGACAGCGTAATATTTTGTTGCTATTACTTTCTTCGATTTTCTGAAAGGCCTTCTGCTCATATCCAAAACAGTGGACCTGTTGGAGCAGGTCCTGCACTATTTTGCAGAAATGAGTTCAGCAGAAGATTAGAGAAACAGTGTCACTTTGTCCTTTTAGGGAGGGACTCACCTTGGTGAGGTACCATGGGAAAATACCATCATAGTTTTCTGGAACACCGATCTTAAGGTGCGCGGCCTCTCCATGCAAAAGAGCCAGAGAAAGCACCAGCTAAGACAGAGAAAGGACATTTGTTCATTATTCATTAGTAAAGTTAACAAAGATAAAACTCGTTATTACATGTTATTAAATAAAATCTTATGTAATCACCGTCATGACAAAACCTTGTATCTGAAGCTTTACAGGAGAAGGAAAAAACTTTCTAATCTTTGAATGGCAAGTAATTTGGGGCCATTCCTATTGGTCTGTTCTTCATTTTAACATTTTTACAGATTTTAAAGGCGGTTTTGCTCTGACACTGACAACATACACTGACCAGCCACTTCATTAAGTTCACCTCCTTGTTTCTACACTCATTGTCCATTTTATCAGCTCCACTTACTGTATAGGTGCACTTTGTAGTTCTACAGTTACAGACTGTAGTCCATCTGTTTCTCTGCATACTTTGTTACCCTGTTCTTCAGTGGTCAGAACCCTCACAGGACCACCACAGAGCAGGTATTATTTGGGTGGCAGGTCATTTTCAGCACTGCAGTGACACTGACATGGTAGGGGTGTTTTAGTGTGTGTTGTGCTGGTCTGAGTGGATCAGACACAGCAGTGCTGCTGGAGTGTTTAAACACCTCAGTGTCGCTGCTGGACAGAGAATAGTCCACCAACCAAAAATATCCAGCCAACAGCATCCTGTGGGCAGCGTCCTGTGACCACTGATGAAGGACTAGGGGATGACCAACACCAACTGTGCAGCAGCAGATGAGCTATCGTCTCTGACTTTCCATCTACAAGGTGGACTGACAAGGTAGGAGTGTCTAATAGAGTGGACAGTGAGTGGATACTTAGGCAGCACTGCTGTGTCTGATCCACACAGACCAGCACAACACACACTAACACGCCACCACCATGTCAGTGTCTCTGCAGTGCTGAGAATGATCCACCACCCAAATAGTACCTGCTCTGTGAGGGTCCTATGGGGGGTCCTGACCATTGAAGAATTTGGTAACAAAGTATGCACAGAAACAGTAACTGTAGAACTACAAAGTGCTCCTATATAGTAAGTGGAGCTGATAAAATGGACAATGAGTGTAGAAACAAGCCAGTGAACTTAATGAAGTGACCGTGTATATACCATTATAACATCATAATGTAAAATGACATACGCCATTATGTTGGATGTTCATTTAAAGAACAAAACTAAGGTTACCAAAGTTACTATTCTCATTATACATTATCATGCAAACTAAATAAGATTGCATACAGTATACACACACAGTAAAACAGAGGAAGACCTACATTCAGTGTTATGATCCTTGAGGAGGCCTTATCCATTGTGCACACTGTGGCTTGTTGTCTGGTGAACAAAACCATCATGTTTCATTATTTTGAACTGTTTTATAGTTTCTGTAACAATGTATGCATAGGAAAACATAAGAACCTAATAGAAAATGCATGAGCATTAATAAGCATTTACAAAGCAATAGTTTCATATTGCATATAAACAGCTTTTGCCAGTAATGTTTTAGTGAACGACAATGTATTGCTATAAGGATGCTTAAATGAACATGCTGAACATTTGTTTAATTTATAACACTGTTATAAAGTGTCCTTCCTCAGTAATGGAACTTATAATACCGAGATATAAGTTATTTTGCGAATACTAGCATAAGCTGTTTTTATAAATAAGTACCGCATTACAAATGTAGGGCTTATGTAGGGCTCTGTAGGTAGCCTTCAAATAAAGTGTTACCCACTTTACTGTAGGGCAGTGTTTCTGCTACAGACTACATTCATATGTAACTACAAAATGACGTCATTTTCAAAATACACCTCACAAGACATCTCAAAGCACCTTCAATAGTAAAGAAAACACTCTCTAATGCCTGAGAAACATTTAACCGCAGGCACAAGTCTTTAACAGAGGGCCGATGCAGGGTAAAGCATGCACTCTCATTCTTTTCTTTGGCAAAAGAAGGCAGTTAAATATAAAACTCTGTGTGATAGCAGAGTGCAGAGCCTGTTAATGTGATATCACGTAGGCTATGCTGTATTTACCAGAGTTAAAAGAATCAAAGAAAGCACAGGAATACAATTGCAACACAAACTAAATCTGAGATTTATTTTAAAGTAAAATGATCAAATTAGTAGTTTAAAGGGAAATGTCACAGATTTTTTTTTGGGGGGGGCTTCGCTTTTTTCTATTTTCTTCATTAATGAATGGGTTAAGCTGTTAACAAAGTCATTCAGAGTGGTTTGGTACTCAATTCTCCGTTTTAGAGAAACTTGCCAAGTCAGAATGTTCACAGTGGTGGTGATAGGAACCAGGCGTCTGAAGAGCTTAACGCCCCTAAAAGCTATATCACATTAACTTAGTTTGTCCTGATAATCATGCCTGATGCCTGAGATGTTGTTTTACAGTGCTTTTCAGTTAATGTCTTGGCCAAAAATTAATGAATGCATAAATAATCACATTAATGGCAGAGATGTGCAGAGGTGTTCTACGGCAAAATTTGGACTTAATGGTCTTTTACCATAATAAACGTCACATATATCATTCTGGAGATGTTTGTAGGATCACTGGTCACTTCTGTAGCAAATAAAATGGCTATATTGCACTGTAGACCCCTGGTTCCTACCACCATCATTATAAAGACATCTGAGTCAGTATGTTTTTCTGCAATGACCATTCCACACCTAACCACTCTGAATGATTTTGCTATGTTATCAACAGCTGAATTATTGTTAGAAATCAGTAAAATACTCCTAAAATCTACTGATTTAATGATTCCACCCTAAAAAAACACGCTCAGTATGTTTCAGATTTTCTGTTCTTTGTTAGTTAAGCATGAAAAGAATAGGCCAATGTAGACCAAGCCTGTATCAGCACTGAAAGTAGATTAGTGGTTTATCATTGGCAAAGTTTACAAATCGACGAGCAATAACAGAAACCAAGCTCTTTAGAGAAGCTATGACCAAAGGAATCCCTCTTACCTTGTCCTCAGTCTAGCAGTCTGCTCCGCTCCTGAACAAAGACACAAATGGTTGAAGTGTGAGAGAACTGCATCTACCTTCAAGGAGATTAATGTTTAACTTCTTTAATTTGACACGAAACCCTTTAACTGCCTTGTTTCCTGTCATTACAAAGCTGGTCAACAGGTCCCCGAAACAATTCCATGCCTGCATATGCATGAGGGAACACATTGCCTGCGGTTCCTGAGGTAATCTTCTCATTTGTGTGTGTGTGTGCGTGTGTGTGTACGAGCAGAAGACAGGAATGCTGCTGTTTTAATCATTATTTTATTATAAAATCAATGTAAACATGTAATAAAATTAACAATCGAATAATATTAAATGGAAGTGCAAATCAAACATTTTGAAAAACAGCTCACAAACACATAATTTATTGCTTCTATGCCATTCAGTCACACCTCTCATTTTAAATATTAGTGTAATGATTAAATGTGAAACTGTCTCAGTTCGAAGCTTCTAACACCCCCCACCAATCACCCCCCACCCCCCCACCCCAAAGCTAGTCATGTATGTTTTAGCTGAGGTACGAACCTGCGCACTCAGATTCAAGTAAATATGATTCCATGTCTCATATCAATACAGAAAATTAATTGTGCTCATTCACGTACATGAGAAGTGAACCCCACTGCTGAGAACTGTACATCAGTACAATAGCTACTGCATTCACAAGGACGCTTTCCCACTTTGCCTTTTCAGCTGCGAAGCTCTCCATCCACACTGAAATGGCTTTGAGAACTCGCCGTCTACTCACACAGCTAGAATTCAATGACTCTACTTGTTAAGGCAGCAAATGAAAAATAGAAAAAAAAAATAAAAATAAAAAATAAAATGTAAGAAACTGAAAAAGCTTCATGCAGGTCTATCAACATTGACTTTGTCAGCATTGTCTCGTATAACCTTGATCTATTTTACAATAGAAAATATGCAAATCTCTGTACAGTAGTCTAGTCCTTGGGTTTCACACACACAGCTTCTGGTCTCAGCAGCTTCGCGAAAGGGCCAGCGAGGAGCGTCCGGCTCTTTCAGAGCACTGAAAGGTCGTGACACGATTTGGACTTCTGCCTGAAGGCCATCTTCTTGTTCTTGCGGGCAACCATGCGGCCCAGGAAGCGCTTGGCCTTCTTGCTGATGCTCTCGCGGCGCTTGCAGTTGGCCATGCGGCGCGCGTTCTCCTCCTTGCTGTCCTTGCGCAGGCGGATCTGCCGGACGATGCCCTCGAAGAGCATGCGCACGTTGTGGTGCAGAGAGGCCGAAGTCTCGATGAACTTGCAGTCGAAAACTACCGCACAGGCTCTGCCCTCTGGAGTGGACAGATAAGATAAAACAGACACAGGTTAGAGGTGAGTGCTTCATTTTAGGGGATGCAACGAGATGAGATTATTAAAGGGGGTTAAACATTCATCAGTTTCAAAGCACTGACTGTGGAACTTTTCAATAGATCATTTATAATATTCATTTAAATTTGTGCTCATTGTTTTGGCTGAAAATCCAGAAAATGTTTCAATGTATTGTTTAATTAATTTCCAAAATAATCATAGTTTAATTGAAATATTTGGCCTGTCATGATCTGCTGAATCTTTCCTGAAAGAATCGAATTGAGTCAAAATTTGAACTTTCATGATGCATCAAATCATTTTCGAAAGAATCTCAATCAAATATATAAATTATGGTGAAATACAAGCTATCATGATCCACTGAATCATTTCTAAAAGAATCCTTATTGAATTGAATCATGGCAAAATCTGGATTTTCATGATTCATCAAATAATTTCTGTAAGAATCTCAGTCAAATCAAAACATGGTGAAATTTGAGCTATCGTGATCCACTGAATCATTTCTGAAAGAATCCCTATTGAATTGAATCATGGCAAAATCTGAGCTTTCATGATGCACTGAATCATTTCCGAAAGAAATGTAATCGAATTGAATGTGAGGTCATAGATTTACAACATGGCTGTGGCTCTGGGCTACTAACTCTCAGGGGGCGAAGCTGGGACCTAATTCATTTAGAGAGATTTTCCATGTATCCGTCACCTAGGAATGGTTATGTAACTCCAGCAGCCTTCACTTCAACTACCTGAACTGGCTGGACAGAGTGGGCGGGGGTCAAAAGCAAACACTAACAGTCTTCTGGCAGACTGTGGGTGACTCACCTTCTACAGAAACTTCTCTGGAGCGCACCAGGTCACTCTTGTTGCCCACCAGGATGATGGGGATGTTTTCGGACTGCCGTGCCCGGCGGAGCTGGATGCGGAGCTCTGAAGCTTTCTCAAAGCTGGACTTGTCCGTCACGGAGTACACGATGATGTAGGCGTCACCCATGCGCATGCACTGATCCTTCAGCCACTGACTGTTATCCTGTGATACAATATGATCAACCAGTTAATACAAAATGTAACTTATGTCAAATTGATTCTGCACTTTTATGCATTGTTATCAGTCAAATATGCTCACCTGCTCCCACACGTCATACAACAGGATATTCGCCTCCTCTTCATCGACCACAATTGATCTGTCATATGTGTTTCCTGCAAAAGAGCAGAAGGTCTTAGCATCAGCTTAATATAATGACGATGCTGCTTTTCAAAATCACTGACCACTAGGATTATTATGAAACATCTGTCGAGGTTGGCGCTGCTCTTTAGAGCTGTTATATTAATCACACCATGTTCTAGCAGCAGCTGTCTGGTGGTAATGGATGCAATAGGACCCAGGGGAAAATATCCATAATCAATATGCCCAAATAATACATTCCACACTATCTGGTGATGCAGTTCTAATGTAGTGGCACGGTTTAAACTGTGGGATGCCCTTGAGATGCACCCTCCTCAGAAAGACGTGTAATTATGTACAGATTTCAAACTGTTTAAATAGCATTCAGCTTGTTTAGTCTGGTTGGACGGATGGTTTAGTCTGGTTTGCAGATGGCCAGGTTGTCAAAAAGATGCCCTCAGGAAAATTTCGACTGCATTTTTTTACATCAAATTGTCTTTTGAACACACCATAGCAGTCTTAGGGCTGATGCAGCAACACCGAACTTGAACTTGAACCCTACAGACAACAAAGCGTCCCCAGAGGACATTTACCTGCATCCTCACAGTCGTGGCTGTCCTCCACTCCTCCGAATATTCTGGCCAGGCTGGACTTCCCTACGCCATGCTCTCCCAGGAGGACGACCTTGTAGATCTGTCCCTCGGAGTCGCTGCCGGAGGAGATGACCGAGTCGGAGGAGTCGGAGACGCAGCTGTGGCGGTGCTGCTCTCCAGGGCTGTAGGACGTGCAGCGTGTCAGGCTGGACAGCTCAGAGGT